GGTTCAGGGGCTGCCGTTTCTTAGCCAGCAGTGGTGAGAGCAGGGGGCGTGTGGGAGTTGGGAGGGGGTGGTGGGATGAGCAGTACCGGGGTGCTGTACCTGAACAGGTAATCGCATCTTAATTCCTGGTAACTCGCTCCCCTTGCTCGTGGAGTGTAGCCAGGACACTCATCCTTCACCTCTTCTCTCCGTCTTGTGTCTTCCAGCTCATTCCCCTGGCTGGAGTGGTGTCCTTCGCAGCAGTTGGGGCGCTCGCTTTTTCTGTCTATTCCCTCTTCAGCAAATCCGATGTGATGTAAGCAAAATAGTGCTTGGAGTTGACCCTAACCTTCACTGTTCAACAGTGGGGTTTGACCGTCGTCTTTTGCACCGAAAAAAAAATCCATGTTGGTGTCCCGGACTACTAGTAATGCCCAGGATACGTGGTGATTGTAAATACTGAAGAAATTAATTCATTTGGAGCATAGCTCACATTATTTCCTTTTGATTTGATAAATTATCTTTTCTTTGCTTTAGGTGTAATAGGTTTTAAATCTTCTTATGAAAAATTACAGAAAATCAGGGAGATGACATACAGATATGTTGCCTGTATATAAAGAACAGCGTTTGATCGTATGAACTCAGAATTAGTTCATATTTTAATGGCTCGGCTGATAATGGAGCAAAGTCTTATACACTTTAAGCTTTTGGGAATTTTTATACTTAAATTTAGAGTGATTGGAATGGACATTTCAGCTGTCAGAGTAAGAATCCCCTTTTTTTTGATGTCTTTGTTCAGTTTTGATTTTTCAGCTTGCTTCCCTTACAGTAACACATTATATCTGAGCAATGTTGGCTTGTCTGGTGCTTTGGAAGCTGCACATAAAGCAAGCCATCATTGATTGCTACCCAGAATTTAAAACAGGAAAAAAAAAATTTGTGTTTCAGGGAACTACTTCCATGAGTAGTTCCACTGATAGACTGCTTATAGAAAGAAAAATGTATGCAAGATCACGGCCTAAACATAGTACCTGTTTTGCTTTATCTTCTCTTAAAGCGTTAACAAGAGTGGCAATCCAGAACCGTGGGAAACTGTCGATCCTACCAAGCCTCAGAAGGTAATTCGTATGATGAATAGTTCAAATAGCGTGTGTTTCCAACACAGTGAATAACTTGATTCAAATGTATAAGAACCAGCAAAATATTGAGGGGGGAAAAAAATGTAAAGCTGACATACATCAATTTTAACGTAGAATTAACTGCTTAATTCATTACTTTATGCGAAGTATCTTCCCAGTATTACCTAATGGTAGGGATTCAGCTATTACATTTGAGGTCAGATCCTGAATTTATGACCTACTTCTGGTTGGTGTTGCCCCCACCAAAACATCCATGTACTCAATGCCACTGATAACAGTGGAAATCTGGAATACAGAGGAAATACTGTTTACTCTTGCCTTGTTCCTGAATGACAAAATTGATTAAGAATTGGGTTTGAGTACTGCTGCCTGAAGGAAAAAAAATCTTAGTTTAGTAGACCATCTGGTATAAGGAAAAATAAAATTATTTGGTATTATTACTTCATATTCAAGTGATTTTGTTCAACAAATCAGTTGCTATTTTTGCTTACTTCTGAAAGGAAAATGTAAAGCTGCTAGATTTATGTTAGATTTCTACTAGAAATCCTTCTTCGCTGCTAGGTTGATGTATGATGGGGGAGGGGTGGGAGTGGAGTAAATGCTCGCTGGGGTTCTGCTGATTTCTTTCATATTTTCCTTTGAATTTCTTCCAGCTGTTAACAATCCATCAGAAATGGAAACCCATAGAAGAGCTGGAAAATGTCAGAAAGCTTACGAAGTGACAAGTTTCTGTTGCCTCAAACAGGTACCCTATGAATCTAGTGGAATCACTTCTGCACAAACTTGACTACTGAAATCAGTGTGCGGAAATGCTTCTGCTACATTTTTAGGGTCTCCCTACATTTTTTGGACTCTGGATGAGGAGTTTCATGTTGCCTTAGAAGCTGGCATACAACATCCACACAGTCCAAAAATTTGTCTCAAATACTCATTTTCAGTAGACATTTGATGTGGACTATTCAGGTGGTCATTGTAGATGGAAAAAGCCTTCTCACTTTTTGCGCAGTTTTGGTTTTCTCAAAAATACATTAGTTTGGTAATTTTATATATTTTTAATAAAATACATTTTAGATTTTTACAACATTCCATGTAAATTCCAAAAATGGATATTACCCCAAAGCCCTTCTAAATTGGAATTCCTGGTCTGCTCCCTCCCTGTACGGTATTTCAGTGCTGTACGCAGCCCAAACAGTCACTGTAGCCTGAGGACGTCTTCATATGGCAACATGGTTATAAAGTATGCTTGCATTTGTTTTCTGTGTTAGATGTGAGGGCAATTTAAGTCAAAACTAATGTTATACTGCTAATACTAAAACTTATATGTGTGCTCACCTTAAACCACTGAGGAGTCCAGTGTTATTTAAGGGTATATTTGAGACTGCAGGATTAGAACATAACCATAAAGGGAATTGGAAAATACAACTTACATTGTATTTTAATATTGTTTGTGTTGAAATTTAGAAGAAGTTACTAGAATTAGGAAACTTACATTACGCAAAACTAATTACATTAACTTCTTTATGTACAAGGTCGCTCATGTGCAAGTTCAAATGCACCACATAGTTAATCGTATTTTTAAACATTTCTAGCTATGTGCTATTAGGTTCATCTGCTTTAACAAAGATAAAATAACAGCTTGACATTAGGAATGACCCTGTGACGAGGCAGTTCCTCTTTCAGCACCTGTGTGTTTTCTTATTCATTGGCCAGCAGTAGTGAGGCAGTATGTGCACCCACTGGTAGAACCGTTTTTTGTGGGTTTATTTTGTATGTGTCCCCTTCGAAGAAGTTTCACCATGTATTATACAGTTTCTTTTACGATGGATGCTCAGAACGCGTAGTAGTTTCTGCGAGGCAGAAAGCAAAAGTGAAACAACTCCTAACTGGAAAAAGTCCCCATAAGTGAGTAATAGTGCAGTGCTTGAGGTTACTCTACTGCAGCAAAGATGAAACTGAAGTTAGTAAAGCTGTTTCCCAAATTTTAAGGTAGCTTAGCTTCAGAAGCTTTATGTTTTCTTCAAATTTATTGATGCTGAGGAAAAAAGTTAAAATGTTATTTTGCGCCATATTTATGTGCAGATGCAGCATAAGTACTTGTTTATGAAGTCAGGATGACTCAGCAGCTTTTACATGTAAGAGTGAGAGGAACTCCAAGACTTCAGAACACATCCTTAGCTTTCATCTTAAGGAATGACATTACAAGATGTCATATAACCACAAAGATAACAAGATAGCATATAGCCACAAAAATCCAGTGCCCTGAGGAATAGAAGTTTTAAGTATTTTAATAGAAAAGTATTTTAAAATATTTTCTGGAAGTTATTCTGTATCTCTGTATTTTTTACTGGACTGTATCAAACCAAAAAAGTGCTTTGCTGTAAGTTGATGCATGAATTAAATGAGTTTGTTCTTCAGTAAATGCCTTGTATGGTCTGTAAATCACTTGTATAGTCTGTAAATACTATGACCTAAGTATCTGTCAACATCAGGAAACTCAGGGTAAGTAATTTTTATGTAATTTTTGTAATTAACTACTCTTCAGTGGTGTCTTCCAGTAGCGCATTAAGCAGTGTGACTGCCGTCACTCACAGGTTGCTTCTCTCATCCTCTGCTGAAGCATAATAGCGAAGGTAATGGAACGTTTTGCTTTGGTCGCTGTTCTATTTTTTTTATTAATATAGATTTGTGGGGAGGGTTTTCACATAATGTGAGAGATGAAAATATTTTTCATCACTTTAAAAATATTAGGAGTATTGTGAGAGATCTCAGACTGTTTTCCGTGTTCTGCGACTGTCCCTAAAAATCCCATCTCCTGCTCAGATGAGTAGAGCACACCAAGAGTAATTATGCTGTCTCCTCTGCAACTACCCAACACAAATCTATACTGCAGTACACAAGTCATTTCCTTGTTCTACAGATACCAGAGTTAAGACAGTAAAGATTTAATTGGCTGAATATTATGAGCTGACTTTTATGGGAACAGTAAGACTTCCATGCCCTGTGTTACACAAACCCATGACTTCATTCCATGGACAGCTTAGAGACTGCTGAAATAAATTTAACAATATTCTTCCTGCTCTACATTCAGTTCTCTCCATTTTGTCTCCTACTCTGTTCTGTTCTTGGGTTTGGTTTTCTTTTTAGACAATCACTGTCTTTACTCATCCTGTCTAGTACTTTTCCATGGAGCTGTATCCCTTCTATATTCATTACAAAGTTTAAATAAAATGTTCACTGGCTTGTTAAATTTTCAAATATAGATTAGAAACCATTAGAAATCTTTTTTAATGGCTCTAATCACCATTAGAATCTATGGTCATGCACTGCAGGTGGGTGATAAGTCGTCTCTTTGTAAATAGTTTTCTGGAAGAACAGAAGGTTGGTTTCTGCAGTATGTGTGCTGTAATTAAGTAATTACTTAATTTTTGTGGTTACAGTAGTATTTGGAGGCCTTAACCACAATGAGACAAGATCTGCAGTTACTTAAGAGTTGTGCTGAGTTTTTCATTTGGCTTTCTTTGCATATGATAGCCCCGGTGTCAGCATTTCTCTGTCTGATGTGCCCTACCTCCCGTTTCTCTGGGCTATTAGTATCGAATTATACCACCGAGTTACTTCACTGGCGCGTGTGGTTTCTGCAGAAAATAGTAACTTGACAGAGGGGCCTGATGCAGTCATTAAAGGAAATTGTTCACCCTGCCGTTGTCATCTGTCTCAGTGCAGAGGGTGGTTGTCCCTAGGACCAGCTGTAGAAAACAACAGTAATGGGAATGATTCACTGGATCTGGCCAATATTTGGTGTTGGACATTTGCCAAAAAAGCTTTCAGATTAAACAAACATGGCCAGGCTACTCAGCACAGTTTTAACTCGCTGCCCAAAGGCTTTGCTGTTCAGCACATCCCTGCCATACGACATCACCTGGCCGTGTAACTGCGATGACAGTCGGAAAGCGTTGGCGAGGAGGTGTGCTGCGGCACTGCCGTTGGACTGAGTAACTATTGACCTTCAGCTGCCGCTGTGAACAGAGAGCGGGCAGATTGTTTGCTGCAAGCTGTCTCCCATCATAAACCAGCCATCACTGCTGGCTGCAGCCTGCAGAGGAGTGGCACAGGGCAAGCAGACACCGGGGCAAAGAGCCCTTCCGTGGTGCCTCACCCCGATCAAAGATCCCCTTTACAGCACACCTCAGGGAGGCTACACCAACCCCATTTATGCTGTACCTTGACCCAACGGCCAAAGGATTTTGGTTTAATTAGCTTTTAGATAACCTTGTTATGTGTACATTCTGGCTGGAACTGCTCACGGGCAGGGAACACGCTTCCTTCTGTGGGTTCCTCAAGGGCCCTGCAGACCCTCTCAGTGCCCCTCGTACAACATGGCAAGCCCGAGGCCTGTGGCACGTCAGGCCATGATGAATGAAGAGCCCTGCACTCCCCTTACCGCCCACAGCTGTGAGGGAGCCTGGGGTGGTCACCCTCCTCTCCACAGACTCCTTGGAGGGAGCTGGGGGGTTTCCCTCAGCTCTGTTTCCCCCCGGCCAGCTGCCACCATGGCAGAGCCTGTAGCCTCAGTGGGGAGGAGGCCAAAAACCCAGGTACAAGGCACCAAAACTCCCGCTCTGGGATTTGTGTTGGCGTCTGATTCCAGGTGTGTGGTTAGAGGAGTGGAGCTCCCTTTCTGTGGTGGTGTGCTGCCTGGGTATTCAGCAGTGTGTGAGGTACGGGATTTGTGAGGCAAATGAGGGGGTTGTAGGAAACTGTATTTCCGGTGTTAGGGGATGGCAGAGCTTTAGTTGGCACAGAGCTGCGTGAGCAAGCAAGAATCCTAAATTTGTCTGGATATCATGATACAGGCCACATACTAGCTGATGCTGCCAGTCTAGAAAATTTAAAAACCCCTCCTCTGTTAGCAGTGGAAGCACGCACCAAAGATGGCTGCCAAGGAGCTGGCCCGGCAGGGCAGCAGCCAGCGCCAGGCTGTGTGTGGTGCCGGGCCTCCAGCCCCAGCTATGCCTTGGTGCGGGCTTGCAGGTCTGCGCCTGTCCCGGCCAATGCCTGGCCATGTGGAACATTCCCTAAAGAGTGTTCTGGTATAAATAATTTAGACTGCATGATGCAATGTTTTTAAGATAAAGCTAGCCATCTTTGTGACCTTGTTTACATAAGGTTTAAAAAGCGCTTGTGCGTGTCTGTTAAAATGCAGGTAAATGTGCTTCCAGTTTAACCACTTGCCAAGCAGCAGAAAACCAGTCCTCAGCTTGAAACATTCGATCTGGACTATTCCAGACTGGTGTTACTCATGATCTGTGTCTACACCCTCCTCTCTATTTTCGACTGAGACTCCTTCCTTCTTTTCCCCTGTTGGCACATCTTTTCTTGTTGCCAAATCTCTGTCTCGCCCACCAAAACAAACACATCAGAAAAACTTAAAGTTTTCTTGGCCTGATTTATTTCTACTGGTAATGCTGCTTATTAGTACACCTACACTGTGTTCTAAAAAGTTACACGTGTAAAATGATTGGATTGGAATATAATTAGGCTGGTATTTAAATATAAATAAAT